CATTCAGTATGAGTACAGAATATTCGAATGATATCATGTGCTGTGTGGGTATTAATGTAATAGTTTTCGACATGGGACCGCAGAATAAGAGTTGGTGGAAATTGTTTAATATTACAGCTGACAAATTTAGCGAAATAAATAATTATACCCCACATCCGTGTAATGAGCAAGACAAATTATATATTACAGCGAATTCTGTTTACGTTTACAAAAACGTTGCATACTCCATAACAGCAGGTAATACTTTTTATTTACAGGACGCACGAGTAAAAAAATATAATTTACCACATAACGAAATTTCCATCAAACCTATTCGCGAATTATTTGATTTGGATCAACAAGATACGTTAAAATTGTGCCCAGTCTCAAAGAAAGTGTCATAAATCCTTCACACTTTGACAAAATGAATGCATCTCTAAGTATCTCTTTTAAATAATAACATTGCTGCAGCTTTACGTTATCATATAGCCGGAGGAAATATTGCCAGCACACATGAACCTACTGCTTGGTTCGTCAGTAATGTACGAATGGTTTAAGCTGTTGACGGGTGACCTATTGGACACATACTGATTGCACACCGCTCGATTGGACACACATTATTGGACACCGAAATCATTGGACACCGCATTGTTGAACACAAGCATTATTGGACACCGCATTATTGGACCCCGCATTATTGGACACTGCATTTTTAGACACCACATTTTTGTACACCGCATTATTGGATACAAGCATTGCAAGATTGAACACTGCATTTTCGGACACCGCATTATTGGACACAAACATTGCAATATTGAACACCTTATTGGACACAAACGTTACAAGATTGGACACCGCATTAAGTACACACACGCACGTATATATGCATGTCGACACGCTTGAAAAATTTGTCGTATTTCGACAAATGTAATACCAGCTTAACTTGTGAACTTGTTCTTTGCATCTGTCATTTCCTATATGCAGGGTAGTACAGATAAAGTGTCCATCCGCTCGTATATAGGTAGAGCGAGTTAAAAGGTTATGTAAAATTCGCAATACTTATCGAGTAATTAATTTTTTAAACGCGATTAAAACGCCTGAGCGAACAAACGATAAGCTTGCCTCGGTAAGTATGTGAAATGGTTTACTTGTTAGGTCTCCTAGCAAGTGAGCATTGTCTGATAGCGATGCGGTGGATAGCGGTGGAGCGATGTGTGGCATATAGCACGGCATATAGCATGCGGTGTCCAATCTTGTAACGTTTGTGTCCAATAATGCGGTGTCCAATAATAAGTGTTCAATATTGCAATGTTTGTGTCCGAAAATGCAGTGTCCAATCTTGCAATGCTTGTGTTCAATAATGCGGTGTCCAATAATGGCCTAGTTTACATCGATCATTTAATACGCGTATGTAGTTATTTCCTATAAAATAAATTTAGTCATTGGCTGATTAGTTAGAACTCACTATTTGATACGCGTATCAAATGATCGGTGTAAACTAGGCTATAGTGTGTCCAATAGTGCGTGTCCAATCGTTACGTGTCCAAACGGGATACGCCCCTGTTGACTAGTCGTTATTGCAAGCTTGCACTATCCCATAACAATAATCATGTTTATACAGGGTGTCTGATGCAAAAGTAGCCACTTTGAAAATAGTGGTAGATTGGGTTAAACTAAGGAGAAATATCATGTACCGCGGTACAAAGTAACAATAGTTATCGAGTAGTAAATTTACACGTTTGAGCGAATGAGGATGCAGGAGACGGTAGGCCGGACTCGGAAGGCATTTAAAAAAATCGATCGATGAGCGGGAGGTGGAGCAACGCGCGAGATACACCATGGTGGGAAAAAACCTTGGCGCGGCGGGGAGCGCGGCGCGGGCGGCGAGCGCGGCAGCGAGCGCGAGC